ACTACTGTTAGGCATCAAAATCTCATCGTCCCCAATTTGGGTGGACGGTGCCTTTAATAGTCAAGACAATGGCTTCAAAAGTCCTTTATTGAAAACAGACAGATCGTCTCAGTTTCTCATGTTAGTTGATGAACGATGGATCTTTTTCTTACTCACATAGGACAGCACCCAACTTGGCGACGAAGCAGGTGTTTACATTATGTTTAGAAGTTTCAGGAATAGCTCAACAACTGAGATATCGTACTTTGCTCATCAAAAATCTTTCAGTTTTCGTTCCCATAACTTCTTACATCTCAACATTTCGCTTGAATTAGTGTAGAATAGAAGAGTTTCCAAAGCGGAAACGTTTACAGTGCCAAAGGCATAGGAAGGCGTGCAGTCTCGTCCGGTTCGCTTCGCTGGCAGTCACCCTTGATGTGTTTATTCTAAACATGCGAGCGAATTCACGACTTGTAAGGTTCAAAATTCCTGATTTTCAGAGTTTCTCACTGTTTTCTTGTTCTTATTTGGTTTGACTGCTTATGTATTGATCAGTATAGACAATTACACAATTTGTCATGTTTCACTGACAAAACACTAGTAAAGTATTTATCACTAATGTCGCCGCACGGACTGTGAAGCTCTGAGTTACAATGGCTAGCCATATTTTTGTATATCTCATTCATTCCTTTGGGAAAAATGTCGAATCGCTTCTGGTTCACACCAGCAAACTTCAGCAAGCTTTATCCAATAACAAATATCAATGTAAAAAGTCTTCAACATATTGTGGAATATGAAAGGGTGACAACGAATCAGAATCCTTCAAATCAGAAAATATCAACTCTATTTACATACATGCACACATGCGGCGAGGAACGCTAGCGTTCCATAAGAAAAACCAAGTTTAAGTAAAAAGAGTTATCATGAATGCACTTCAATAGCTACCCAAAAAATGACAAGGGTGTGCGAAATCAAAACTAGATCCGTATAGGGCGATTATGGTTCTAGAGACGAGTAAAAAAAACCGAAACCTTGAACTGCGAATGTTGGATAGCAAGCACAATAACTATCTGAGCACAGAGTCAGCTGATGTTGGTACAGCTTGTAGAGCCGCTCCTCTCAGAACAGGAATTGAGTCAATGAAGTTGTCGGGAAGTTCCTTTTTTACGCTTTCGAATCCAGCTACTCCGACATGACCTTCAGCCTCACCCTCGGCTGTAAATGAAAGATCGCCGTGGATTTACCACTAGAAAAATTACCATGTGATTGTACAACAATGCTACAATGCGATTTTACATTAAGTCAACAGAAATAAGTAGTCTGCAAAAGCTACGGCAGTTTATTCTGGATGTCGCAGATTTTTCGAGCTGTTTTTCAAGCGATCCCAGTTTGAAACACAGTCGAAAATGGGCTTTTCGCCTTCTCTGATTTCTCCTTTTGTAGTGAAGATATCTATTCAAACTTTCAAATTGAGAAAATATTGATAACGGTTTGGTAAAGCACACTTAGAGCATCCGGATACAAACACTTCGCCAAAAGCTTAGAAAACTATAGAGAAAGAACCAAACAAAATGCGAACGAACTTACTATACAACCTAATAAAACATTGGGGTCGATCATACCTCCTTGAAATTAGCCTTTTACTTTCCTTTTTCAGAGTGCATCAAAATAAGATATCCTTAGATATATAAACGAACAAGCAGATACTCATACACATTTTCTACAGACAGCGTTATTGGATGAAAAAATTGTTGAAGAGCAGATTTTTACGAAGATATTGGAAAGCCAATGACTATCAGCTCTATGCGAAAAAGACTGATACAAAAGAGGAACAAAGAAAAAAACTTTGAGGGCCTCAAACTCACTGTTGCTTTCGTCGCCATGCGCTACCACGTTCTCTCCTGAGCTACCTGCCTCATCGATGCTTTCATCATCATTAGCATTTGTGTCCATTGCGACATCCATCTCTGCAAGGAAAAAGCATAGTTCGCTGCTTAACTATTTTCGGAAAATCTGAAAAACACAAGAAAAAATAGCCTGGGGCAAACCTTCATGTTTAAAATCAGTATCCATGCAATTCGAACAGCCTTCCGCTAGTGAAGCAGAGCTTCCATTTACCTTCTCTCCGTCTGTTGCGGCAAAATCAGAGTTACAAGGTGTTCAAAAGAACTTAAAAACGTACCATTTCCTTCAAAAGAACTTCTAGCTTCCTGTTTGATTGGCGACTTCTTTGCAACCTCCTTGCTCGTTGTAGCATATTCATCTACCAACATTCTCACAAATGTAGTAGCCTGGAAAATGATGGATTCGAGCAACACAAAGCTAGAAGAACAGGAAATTCGAAGTGCTGTCCACCTACCCTTGCGTGTACTTCCTCAAGATCACACAAATCAACTTTCGCATACAGCTCTAGGAAATCCTGTATCATAGAGGCAGCACGACGAGGACGCCCGTGCCGATCAGCACTCATCGCAAATCTCCTGATTGATAATGAATAGAAAAGACAACGAATAACACACGCTGCCATACCTATCAAATGATTTCCTGTTCGTTCTGGGAGTCGAAGTAGCACCATTTTTCTTCGGCCGTCCCCGTGGTCGCCTGCAGCGGGTATATAGCAAAATTCATTCAAAAAAAAATTCCTCTCCTACCCAGCTTTTTCTAAATCAGGCACGTACTCGTTCTCCTCCTTTTTAATCGTTTTCGCTCTACCTTTTGTCCTCCTGAACTCTTGACTTATGAAAAGCAAACAAAGCACAAGATTGAAACTAACTTTTTATATGGTTGTCGTTTGCGACTATTTGAAAATGTCTCAGCTGTGCCATCTTCCTTAGTTGGCATTGCAGAAGACGATGAATGCGCTGGCAACGAAGACAAGGGGCAGACTTCGGCTAGTATCCGCTTTACAACAGCAGCTTCGTTCTCAATGGGTCTTGGAGGTGAATTCACTCTTAACGCCGAAGGAGGACATACTTCCTCCAAAATGCGTTTCACAACAGCCGCTTCCTCATCAGGATTCTTGAACTCCTTAAACTTCGAGTCTTTTCTGGCAGGTAGTACTACTTTTTGACGGTCAGGTTTCATAGAAGTGCCCTCCTCATCATCTTCAAGTCGCCCATCCGTACTGCCATACTTGCGGAATACCATTCTGTCGAAATCAGCAGGTTCCTGTTCCGATGCATCTACATCTCCAGCTCCAAAAAGAGATACTTCGGCGTTTGGTAGCAGAGTTCTAGGAGCAGCTTCTACGTCGAAATGATCCTTGAGTATGGGGAGGGAAGTGGGCAAGGGGAAGAGCGTTGTATCTTGCTTAGGCAGAACCATGGCATTATCAGTAAGGTTGGCATCCTAAACGCAATTTGTGAATGATCTGCAACTATTCGAACGAACAGTACATATGGTAAAATGCATATAACTTGATGTAACGTCGAAACCCAAAATTTTGCTTATTCGCGTGCAACATATTCCGCTTAAATTTCTTCGATTCTGGGAGGTTGTGCGCTTGACCTTTTTTTACTCATAGGAAAAGATTGCAATATTTTAAGGCCGAAAAACTGCGGTTGACTTCTTAAATTACGTACTTCTCAGCTGTTTCGATCAAGACAGAATGCAATGGCATAGACTGTATGAAGCACAATGAACTATAGGAGGATGTACTAGATACGTCTTACATTGTCACAAGTACAAACAGAACTGTTAAGCATAGCTATGCAAGCTCTAAGAAACTATCTCACAAGGATTGTACTAGCGTCAGATATAAATGAATAAAAGCGCAGAAGTGAAATGAGTAATTTCTCTCAAACCTTCACGACACTAACTTTGTTCTTGCCAGCACAATCGCTAACGATTTCTCAGTGTTCCAAGAGAGATTCAAATAAAGAATTTGTAAAATTTTGCCCTTATGATGACTACTTATGACTCCTCCTCAAACTGGAGCCACTTTTCCTCATAATGAAGCAAGTTTGCAAGCACTTGCAGATTTCTCACTAACCAGGAATCTGTGGGAAAGACTGACTGGCATCAAGTGATAGATTAAAGAGCTAGCAAGTACTAAAAGTTGCACTGAATGCTGTTGAGTTTCAGCAGAATAGCATATAAAGGTAAAACTTTTATTACTGAGTGCTAAGCATATCGACTAGACCAGCGTCTTCCCTTCTTCAAAGTTGAAAGATGTTCAGCGTTTGAAAGGTTGGGTACAAAAAGCTGTTAATGACTAGTCAATGGGACGTTTAAAATAGAGTAAATTGATAAAATCATAGTCCGTAAGCAAATTTTAGATTGTTTTGAAACCAAAACGTAGTCACTTTCAAGGAAATCTGTACAACCTTGTTTGAACTGTTTTGTTCCACATCGAATAAATCAAAACTGTGATGCAAGATGAATCGCCGTGTTATATGGTGAAAAAAATTGAAAAAAATGTGAGCGCAAGGATGTGCAACTGTATCGATAAGAAAGATAACGTAAATTATTGAAAGGTATAAAAACAACATACTTGTGCAGCAATACCATTATCGTGTGACATCGGCACTGGTGTTTGTGTCAGTGTGGCCATAATTGATGCTAAATTTGGTGCACATCTGTAAATGAAAGTTTTTATTGAACACCTTCTGCGTAAGCTTAAGGCTATGGGATCCCATTACTGTCATATTCTTGAGTGTTGTAAATAGCTGCGATCATATAAAATCTAAGTTATTTCAGCAAACAAATACAAATGCGCGAGTTCCTTACAAGGATGAAAATAAACATAAGAGACAAAGTTGCGTCATTTGACTCTATATGTAACACCTAACATTACAGAATAAGCGGTACGGTTAAATTTTGATACTCGAACAGGAGGAGAAAAGGACTTCGTCATCCCGCAAATCGACAAACGATACAGGCCAGCTCATTTAGTATGCAACACAATCAATACTTCTACGCTTTCCAAACAAAAACGGGATTTGCGAAGATTCTAACCCGCTGACTGAACTCAACTCAGAATGGACTGGTAAATACAGAGTGTCCTAAAAAATGTGAACTGTTTGATCGCTATTAACTCTCTTGCTTTCATGTCTTT